ATAAAGCAAAAACCTAATATCTAATAAAAGATACGAGGCAAGACCTCACCTTAATATTGAAAAAAAAAAAAACAATCTTTATCCAAAGGATCACTTTGTTAGACAAAACTCTTATTCTAATTCTTATTGCTCAGAAAATTCATCTAAATCTGCTATAAATTTACAAGTAACGGTACTGAAAAATACGATTGTTTTCTTTAAACTCTGATTGTGACCAATTGAAGTTAACTCTATAAGAACTATCATAATCCTTAAATAAAATATAACCAATAGTTTTCAACTTTGGGTTTTGTCGAATGTTCCAATTGTCATAATTGATTAATTGTTTTAATCGTTGTTTATCAGCTTCATTCTAAAAAAAACAAGAATACTTTCATTACACAGGGCTGTATCAGAAAGATGGTTCATTTTCAAAAAGATAAACAAAGATATTTTTTGAAAAAGCATTAATAGAAACTTGTTTTGTGCCTACTAAATGCCTATTAAAGCCAAGATATTTTTTAATAAGAACTATAAATGCATCTTGATAAAATGTAACTTGCTCAAAGGGCAGCTGATTAAGTAGCTTGCGGTAAGATATAGTTTTGTTATTTCTATGTTTAATTCTTTCATGAGTTACAAGTTCTTTTTGAGAAGAAAGGTTTCCTTAACAAAGTTGGCATTTACTAGCCATAGAAATAATTTTGCTAGTATTTTCTTTAGTTTTGTTAAAAAATACCAAAATCTTCTTTTTGCTACAACTTCATTAGAAGCAAAAAGTCTTATACAACAAAGAGATTTTTTTCAATTCTAATTGTGATTATCAATAGTTATCAAACATATGCAAAAAGTTTATTGGTCAATTATTTTTAGATATCACAAATTTCCGAATATCACATTTACAACGTAGGTGATATAATCGAATAAAAACAAATCTGCTCATATAGTTTGCACTTCTGCACTATAACTAGAGTAGATAGAGAAATGTGATATACATATATGTGCATATAGTGGTCACGTTTAATGTGAATCATATATGTACATATATGTTGCAGTATATAACAATAAATCTGTAAGTAAATGTCTTTACGAAGCTTTTTTAAAAGTAATATTAAGTGAAACTAATTTAAAAAGTTCAATTTATATTATTTAGCAAAATTAGACTTTATATTTACTAAATAAAGATGATAATATTTTTGCTTAATTTTTGCCAAAAGAAGATATTAATATTTATAAAATTAAAATAATCTGAAAGTAGATTTGCTTAAACACTAGAAAATCAAAATTAGTTTCGCTCTTAGTACAAAGAATCAACAATATAAACTTCGGAGATTGTATCTATTGTTAGTTGATATAAAATAAAATTCGAATAAAATATCATTTTTATATTTTTACTTTTTAATGTTTAATTTTTAAAAATGATTACCCCAAATGATCATATCAACAAAAATGAAGAATACAAAAAAAATTTTTATGTTGATGATGAAAATTTGTTTTGTATTTTTTGTTTTTTTTTACTTTAGCGATTCTACCTTTATTTTATAAATCAGAAGTAGATTACAAATTGCTTTTAGTTAGCTAAACCTATATGCAAATTACTATACTACTATATTCCTGTCCAAATAAAGATTCTCTCGATCTGTCTCATTATTACAGTAAAATCACAGCTGAAGCCAAGAATTTTATGCTAGAGTATAACCTAGAAGCAACCTGCCTAAGTGACAATTTTCTTCTTTTCAGAATCCTCAACTTACTACTTACTGAGGATATAAACTCTGGATATCAACAGATGGAAGTACTGATCTTGTTAGAATTATCACTTTATAATAGAGTGCTGCTAATCTGATAATACTTTCTTGTAGAGAAGTAAAAAAAAAAAAAAAAAGGGTAAGGGTAAAATGAAAAAGGAGAAAAAAAAAAAAAACCAAAAAATAAAAAAAAACAACCAAACTAAAAAGGAATCTAAAAAACTATTCTAAAATCTAAG